ATATCATAATGTCACTATATAAATCCATCGTGAACCCACACCACCTTGTCCAGTTCTAGTTGTTCCATCTCAAAAAGGAAACAGTGGGACTGGAAAAGGTTCAGAGAAGGGCAACAAAGATGATAAAGGGTATGGAATAACTTCCATATGAGGAGAGACTAAAAAGACTAGGATTGTTCAGCTTAGAAAAGAGACAACTAAAATGGGATATGATCAAAGTCTAACATCATGAATGGTACGGAAAAAGTTAATAGAGAAGTGTTATTTACTCTTTTCCACAATACAAAAAATCAGGGGTCACCCAATGAAATTAATAGACAGCAGTTTAATACAAACAAGAGGAAGTACTTTTTCACACAACACACAATTAACCTGTGGAACGCATTGCCATAGGATGTTGTGATGGCCAAAAAGTATAACTGGGTTAAAAAAAAACTAGATAAGTTCATGGAGGATAGGTCCATAAATGGCTATTATCAAGATGGTCCGGGATGCCTCCCCATGATCAGGCAACCCTAAACCTCTGACTACCCAAAGCTGGAAGAGGAACATGGGTTGGATTATTCCCACTGTCCTGTTCAGTACATTCCCCTGAAACTCTGGTACTGATGACTGTGAGAAGTAGGATAGTAGGCAAGATGGACCATTGGTCTGGCCCAGAATTGCGGTACTTATGTTCTTGAATATTAAATATTGTTCATGTTTTTGGTATTTGTCAGCAAATCGAAAAAGGTCTGGTCAGCTTCAGAAAACTGTGTATGTGTGTGTCTGTCTATCCACAATAATCTTTAGCCCCATGGTTAAAGTACTTGCCTGTGATGTGGGAAACCCATGTTAGAATCCCCACTCTGCAGAATGACTTCTAAACTCAGATCTCCCTCCTCCCAGATGAGTAGGTTATAGGCTATTCTGGGGAGGATTGCTTTCAATCTCTCCTTCTGAAGCTGTTCCACTTTGTATAAAGACAAAATTATTCACTGGGTCAGAGTCACAGATGCAGTGATTCTACAGAATGATGATTAAGTCACTCTCTTGGGAGGTGCAGGAAATGTGATTCAAATCTTCTCTCTGCCTGACTCAGATGAGCAATTTGACACCTCCCAGGTGAGTGACTTACTCACCAGGGTATAGAGAATCCTCAAGCATCCCTTAGCATCAAACAACTTTCTTACCAAAGTCTTTTAGATTTTCCTTTCCTTATTTTATGTCTCAGTTTTAAAAGACGACATAAGAAATAGCCTAACGTATTTTAGCCAAAAATATGGGGAAAAAATAGAACACATATTATAATAGCCTCAGAAAAATAAATGAATTATATCTCAGCTGGACAGGAGAAAAATAAATAAATCTCTCTCACGGTGCTGCAAGTGAGATATGTTGCATAACTCCAACAGTATCAATTTTCCACACATCAAGAATAAATTTCTAAACTCCAATAACTTGAGTGCTTAAGGGCTTGTTCTTCTTAGAAAAACAGTAAATATTTATTTTTGGAAAAATCAGTCATTAATAATTCCAAACAACTGATCCTCCGTTGAAGTTGTTTTAGGACACTTTGAAAATTAAAAATATCAAGTTTCAAAGTCAAGATAAACATATTTCTTATTCTCATAACATGCAGCTTTGTTACATAAAATGCTGCCTTCTGTACTTTAATCTTATTCAGATCTGCTTTTAAATATTTGGGGCCAGATTCCCTGCTCAAGTTCTGATCTCTTTGCAATGCTTGAGCTGCTTTGTGCAATTTATGTCAATCATAGTTTGCATATGGTCCATTAGTGAAGGGCTGGGACAGATTAAGAATACAGAAGCCATAACTGGCTTCCTAACAACCCTCCCCTTTCTCCTGCACGACAAAGACCTTGATACATGACACAATCTGATTACTGAATTTCAACCTGTGGGCTTGGGTTTCCCTTGCAAGATCTGGAGAAATTAAAATTTGGAGGCGTTGATAGCTAAAAAATCTTTTTCAAACACACTTTGAACTTTTATCACAATCAGTTAAATATTTAAACTATATCAACAGAGTTCTACAAATAGTCATCTCTGTTAATATTAGACTGGACATATTGTCCTAGCTGTTTCTGTAGTTTCATCTCCTCACCTGATTTATACTTTCTTTCTGCCATTCTACCAAAAAAGACAATTTAATTTGAGAAGCTAAAGTAAAATAAGCAACCAAACGGAAAATTATAAAAATGTAAATTATGGAATTACACAATAATAATAATATTATTGTAAAAACATATCCCTTGGAGATCCTATGGACTTACTTTAAATAATGACACTTGCAAGCCTCTTACAAACGTTCTTCTCTTTATATTTTCTTCTTCTACTTTTAACTATCTTTTTCTTTTCCCCATTAATACAATCACACGAAAGAGGACTTAAAAGGGGAAGTCGAGAGTAATGAATATAAATCAGGAATTAGGAACTGTAGAAAGTAGATAAGGGAAGCAAAGAGACACAAAGAGAAATATATGGCCAGCAGAATTAAGGACAATAAGGAGTTTTTTAAATATATTAGAAACAAAACCAAAAAATCCTGACAATGGTATTGGTCAATTACTAGCTGGAAATGGTAGAATTATCAATAAAAATGCAGAAAAGTCAAACATCTTCAGTAAAGATTTCTGTTCCGTATTTGGGGAAAAAATAGATGACATGGTAATGATAACATTCTTTCCATTCCTCTAATATCTCTGGAGGATGTTAAACAAAAGCTACTAAAGTCAGACATTTTTAAATTAGCAGGTCCAGATAACTAAGAGTTTTAAAAGATCTGACTCAGGAGTTTTTTGGACCATTAACATTGATTTTCAAAAAGTCTTAGAGCACTGGGGAATTTCCAGAAGACTGGAAGAAAGCTAATGTGCAAATTTTTAATATGAATAAACGGGATTTCCTGGGTAATCATAGACTTGTAAACCTGATATCAATCTCGGGCAAGATAAAGGAGCAACTGATATGGGACTCGATTAATAAAGAATTAAAGGAGGATAATGTAATTAATACAAATCAAAATGGCTTTATGGAAAATAGTTCCTGTCAAACTAATGATATCTTTTTGTGATGAGATTACAAGTTTGGTTGATAAAGGTAACAGTGTTGACATGATATACTTAGACTTCTGTATGGCATTTGTCTTGGTACCCAAACAAGATTTTGATGAAAAAAATTGAATGATATAAAATTAACAAGGCCCACATTAAATGGTTTAAAAACTGGCTAACTGATAGCTCTCAAAATTTAACTGTAAACAGAGAAAAATCATCAAGTGGGTGTGTTTCTAGTGGGGTCCTGCAGAGATGAGTTCTTGGTCCTATGCTATTTAACATTTTTGTCAATGATCTGGAAGAAAACATAAAATCATCAGTGATAGAGTTTTCAGATGACACAAAAATTGGAGGAGTGGTAAATAATTAAGATGACAGGTCACTGATAAACAGCAATCCGGATCACTTGGTAAACTGGGCACAAGGAAACAATATGCATGTTAATATGGCCAAATGTAAATGTATTCATCTAGGAACAAAGAATGTAGGCCATACTTAGAGGACAGGGAACTCTATACTGGGAAGCAGTGATTCTGAAAAAGATTTGTGAGTCATCGTGTATAATCAACTGAGCATGAGCTTCTAATACAACATTGTGGCAAAAGAGTTAATGAGATCCTGAGCGGCATAAATGGGAATCTCAAATAAGACTAAAGAGGTTATTTTACTTCTGTGTTTAGCTATGGTGCGACCACTGTTGGAATACAGTGTCCAGTTCTGGTGCTCACAATTCAAGAAGGATGTTGATAAATTGGAGAGGGTTCAGAGAAGAGTCATGGGAATGATTAAAGGATTAGAAAACATGCCTTATAGCTATATCTAAAAGAGCTCAATCTATTTAACTTAACAAAGGCAAGGATAAGGGACGTCATTTGATTACAGTCTCAAGTATCTACATGGGGAACAAATATTTAATAATGGATTCTTCAATCTAGCAGACAAAGGTATAACATGATCCAATGGCTAGAAGTTGAAGCTAGAGAAATTCAGACTGGAAATAAGGTGTAAATTTTTGACAGTGAGGGTAATTAATCACTGGAACATTTTACTAAGGGTCACAGTAGATTCACCATCACTGACAATTTTTAAATCTAGGATGGATGTTTTTCTATGCTCTACAAATTATTTTGGGAAAGTTCTATGGCCCTTTGTTATACAAGAGGTCAGACTAGATGATCACAATGGTACCTTCGGGCCTTAGCAGTTATGAAATCCCTCTTAGCTTTACAAAAACTCAAAATAAAATAAAAGATATCTTGAAGGACTGATTCCTCCTTTAAGTCCCTCTTGGGAGCATCCTTGTTTACAAATGAGGGGTGCTTCAAGGTTGTGGACAACTCAGGTAGCAGTCCTCATCTTAATGCATGTCTTCATTAGACACTTTTACCTCAAGTTAATTGACTGCCAATTAATTCAACTTACTTGACATATTTCTAAAAGCTGGTGAGGACACTTCCCACACATTTGATCCATGCTACAAATGTTTGTTCTATACCGTAGGCTGATCCCCAAGGTAAAGTCTAGTGTAGACATCCTTAGATCTTTAAAAGCAAAGGGTCAGATTGTGAACACTTACTCACACTGGTCAGCAGTAAAATCTAAAGGTTTTATTCTTATAGGAGAAGATAAGGTTAATTAGGAACCCCCATTTGTACCTTATATCCCTTTTTTCCTCAGTTCCTTAACTAGTTCTCTCATTTCTCTGAACGATCTCAGTGTAATAGGTGATAAATTCTGAAATATCTGGATTTTGGGGTTTCACCGACGATATTTTGCTCTCTAGCCCTTTTTCATCAGAACTTTTTTGTTGATAATAATGTATAATTTTATCAATTATGTCACTGGAGGGAAAGAGGGCTCTGAGGGATCTATCTACTAATACTTCTACTGTGCTCAGATTTAAAGCCCCCTCTCAATGACATTCTGCACAAGAGAGATTACCTTTCTCCAAGTTTTCACAAACTCCTTTTACTCTCACATGGTTTCTTCTTTCATGATTCTCTATGTCAGAGGTTCTCAAACTATGGACAAGTTTTTGGTGGTCCCCCAACTGGTTGCCTAAAAAGAAACCACACAAATCGTTTAAGCACTATGCTCATGATAACTATATTATAGGAATATGTGCAAATCAACTGCCTAATTTTCTTTTGTGTGAAATAAAGAAAATCTTAAATATTGTAACAAGTCCTTTGAATTTATGAATTTTGCTTATCATAAGGCTTCTAAGTGTGTGTGCACTACCACTGAGTAAGCTCAGCACTGCGGCTCTGGCACTGCCATAGGGTTTCTGAACCCTGATGTCACTGGAGGTGAGGAAGCTTACAGTGCCACAGCACTACTGGTGTAGCCAAAGAGCCTTAATCCTCAAGCTCAGAGTAGAGCTTCTGTGAACATATGTTAATGTAGCACAGAAGCATCAAGTCTGAGATTGTAACACAGTTCCAGGTTTTTGTAAAGGGAGCAGTTTAGATGCCAGATTTGAAGAGTTTCAGCTGGTTCTAAGGCCTTCATGGATGTGATTAACCTGTCAGTCAGTGTTCAGAAAGTGGTCGAGGTCCATTACAGGACAGGGTTGCCAACTTGCTGATGGCAGAAAACCGAACACTCCTGCCCTGCCCCTTACCCTGAGACCTAGCCCCAGCCCCATCCCTACTCCAAGGCCCAGCCACCACTCACTCCATTCCCCCCTTCCTCCATTGCTCACTTTCCCCCACTCTTGCTTACTCACTCATTTTCACCGGGTTGGGGTAGAGATATGGGAAGGGGTGAAGGCTCTGGCAGAGGGTGCAGGAGATGGCTCCGGGCAGGGCTGAGAGGTTCGGAGTGCGGAAGGGGGCTCCGGGCTGGGGCAGTGGGCTTGGGATGCAGGAGGGAGCTCTGGGATGAGTCCAAGTGATTCAGAGTGGGGAGGGGAGGCTCAGGGCAGGGGTGGGGGCCCTTCCCTCGCCTGCAGGTGCTGCCCCCACAGCTCCCATTGGCTGCAGTTCCCGGGCAATGGGAGCTGCAGAGCCAGAACTCAGGGCAGGGGCTACGCGCAGAGCCTTCCTGGCCACCCCTGTGCCTAGGAGCCAGAGGACATGTCACCGCTTTCGGGAGCCAAACAGAGCCAGGGCAGGCAGAGAGCCTGCCTTAGCCCCGCTGCACCGAAAACCACACTTTTAACGGTCCAGTCAGTGGTACTGACCAGAGCCACCAGGGTGCCTTTTCGATGGGTGTTAGTAGGTGCCTTTTCGACTGGGCATTAGTAGGTCCTTTCTATAACAGCCAGTCTGCAGTACAAGAACAGTTAGCGAGGAAAATTCTGCTCCCCTTTACGCTAATATAAATTGGAAGTCACTCCACTCCAAAAGTAAATGGAATTAAACCACCAACATAAAATCAGAATATGTGAAAGTAGAATCAGTCCTGAGTTTCTCAAAATGAATAAAGTGCATCAACAGCAATGATATAAAACAGTTAGGGATGTTTTATCTAAAATTCTAAGAGGACTCATATATTAACAATCCAATTTCCAGAAATATCAAAATCAACTATTTTCTATTTTCAATAGCGTAACAGGGTAATTTTTATCAGGACAGTAGGACAGTTTCTAAAAAGGAAACAAGACTCATTTTTTTCCCCTCATACACAAAACCAGTATCATTATGGCTTCTAAAACTTTGTTTTCTTGACTATAGAGATCTACTCACCTTCATCAGTAATAGTTCCACTGCTGGAGCCACCATTGCTCTTGGCTTGTCTGTGAGATGAAGAGAGAGACGACTCTGCATTGTGAACCTTAGGGGATGGGGATGGAGATGGGGATGGTGTGAGAGTTGGTGATGTGCTTTTAGATGTAGATGAGGTCCCAGATGGAGGTCTTTTGTTCATCTCCAGTTTCTGCTACAGTTAACAATAGAAATATTTTTGTTAACTAAAACTACCATACAATTAATCATTATAATTAAGGCCCCAATTCAGCAAAGCACTTAAACAGATCTTTAAGATTGTGCTTATGTCCCATTGAAGTCAATGGAGCTACACTGATTCATACCAACTGAAAATTTCACCCCAAAAGGAATGGATATTTGTTAATCTCTCAGGACTGGAATAAAGCAATAATTCCCCACTCCAAACAAAAAGAGTTGTAAATATTCATTTAAATAACTGTTTATAAAGGATAACATTATCTTAACTTTGGATACAACTTTTTCATTCACAGATTTAACTAAAACACTACTGATTTAAAAACATAATTTAGGCCCTGATTCAACAACATACTTAAGCTCATCTGATTGACCATCTGTGACGTTATCTAATTAAAATCTGACCATGCAAATCATTGTTGCTATCACTGTTATACAATTGCAACAAATCTTATACAAAAGTGTGATGTATGGCCAGAAAGGGTTAAACATCCTGCAGGATAATTGACCCAGAGTCAACCATAAGCGAGATGTTAGATCAGTATGTAAATGGTAATAAGGACCACTCCATGGTAGATAGACTAGAACTTTGAAATGCAAACCTGTATTGTTAGAAATTAGAGGTGATACTAATTGTATGTATATGCTCATCTCTTTTTTAATGCTAGCGATGTAAACAGACACTTCTTGTCTGTCACTATAGCTGTTGATTCAAAGATCAAAAGGAAATATTAACATTTAGATTAAATTCGGATGAAATGATGTCATTGTTTATATGTCTCTTTAATGTTTGTGATAGACTGCCTAATGGATAAATTGCCTTACGTTAATCTATGTGGATAATTACCGGCGATGCTTAGGAAATAGATCTATTCAAAAGTCCCCATAATTGCCTACAGTTCTCCGAGCTGTCACAAGAAGGCCTGAAACTGTATAAAGATGCCTTGGGTCCCAATCCTTTTTATCTCAGATCTGCTTGATGCTTCATGCAGGGGAAGCTTAAGTCATAAGATTGAGATCTCCAGTCTCATCTGGATCACCCTGAATATGGACATTGGACTATAAACCTATGGGCTATTTCTGAAAGAACTCTTTGCAACTACAAAGCTCACCATCTCTCCTATGAATCTAATCTCAAGAACTGTACTCATGTCAGTATTATATTGATCTTTTAATCAATACTCTCTTTTTTCTTTATTTAATGAATTTTAGTTTAGTTAATAAGAATTGGCTGTAAGCATGTATTTGGGTAAGATCTGAAATATTCATTAACCTGGGAGGAAATGTGATCCTTTGGGATTGGTAGAACTTTCTTATAAGATGAATAAGATTTTCAGTAATGCTCATCATATTTGACTTGGGTTTCTGGGTGGAGGCCTAAGGCTGGGTTGTTTCAAGGGAACTGTGTTGTTGGCTTCTGGGTAACCAGTGAGGTATTATAGAAGCTGTTTTGTGCTGGCTTGGTAAATCTAAGTCTTGGAATATCCACCAGCTTTGGTGATTGTCTGCCCCATTCTTTCCAGTTCACCCTAATTGAGTGACCCTAGTTGGCTCCCCTGGAACCACGGTCACACCATCAATAGGACTTCAGCAAAAGCTTAGAAGTTAGAGATGTGTTTAAGTGCTTTGCTGAATTGGAGCCATGATGTGTGAAGGTTTTCACTACCTCCTTAGTATTTATATGATTATATAACACATGGGCAAGTGACAAATTGTTCTGTATATATTCATTTCACATATATTTATTAAATAGATGACAGCATGGAAATGGAAAAATGGCAGGATGATAAATGTGAGCATACATGTTTCTGAACAGACCATGCCAAATAGAGCCATTACATCTCATCTTATAAATTACTCTGAAGCCATGCACCACCTACTTTAAAGTTTGCATTATATATGGGCCCAAGGGGTCCTGATGACTTTCCCCTGGAGTCCTAGATTCACAGCTGTTTTAAGGCCCCTTTATGCTAGTTAGACTGATGCAAAGGGGCTATAAGGCACACATAAGACACTTAAGAACACTCCTGGTACAGTGGGCCTATATACCAGGTAGAAAACTGGTTTTTGCCACTTCTGGGTCACCTCCACAGAAGACACATGCATTCTGGGGGAGGAGGAGGGAGGAAGCATGGGGGCCATGGCTGGGTGTGTTTTTTTTTTATCCTAGCGATTCTGTATCTTTGCAGAAGTTCATATGGGTCATTGCTATAGGGCTTCAAGTTAATGAAGCTCTTAGGCCACCCTAGCTGAGCCAGCCAGCAGATCTTGGAATTTATGCAAGGACAAATTTGCTCCCTGGTGCTTTGGAAGTTGTATTATTATTTATTAATATTACTAATATTATTACCTCCTTCGTCCTGCATGTCAAACACCCATGACTTACACAGTCTAATACGATATTTGCTTTTTTGCAGCAGCAGCTGCAAGCCCATGTCTAATTTTTTGTCTCATATTGAATCCCCAAATCCCTCTCTGTCATTCTATCCTATTATCTGTCATTTTGTTCTTCAGAGGTTTTTTTCTTCAAGTGCATTGTCTGCATTTATCTAAATTAATTACATTCTCAGTGATTTATGCCCAGTTCTCTAATCCTTAGAGAAGGTTATTCTTCAGTTGCTTTCCTTTCTGCGTGTCTTTTCTAATCTCTTCTAGTTTGATACTGCCTGCAAATTTGATCAACGTAAAATCACTACACCTCCTAGACTAGTCATTCTCAGGTTTGGGGCTGAGACCCTCAAGTAGGGCCATGAGTGGTTCTGTGACAGATACAGACTAACTTCATTTTTATAATATGTAAAACTGTCAGAGCCTTTTTTTTCCAATCTAGAATGGTTACTTACCCTAAGTAGCTGAGGTTCTTCAAGATATTGACTCTGACAGTAGGGGCAAATGCACTTAATGTGTGCAACAGGGGAATCTTTTGAGTAGCAGTGTCAGTTGGGGCCACGCATGGGTCTGTGTCTCCTCGTTCTCCCATGTGAGGGAACATATGGTGGCGCGGCCGCAACCTTCCCTGAGTTTCCTCCTTGCAATTCAAAGCCCATGTTTGCTGAGGGCTTCAAAAGAGGAGAGTTGTGGATCCCACAATTCCAACAACTCTCAAAGAACTACAGTTACTATAGGGTAAAGTACCATTCTTTATTATTCCAGTGTATCAGTGAGGATCATACTGTAAATGGCTGGCAAGCAGTATCCTTGTCAGATGGTGGGACTGAGGAGTTTCAGCTTCATTAGTCAAATAGTAACGTCAGTACTGCTCCCCCAAACTTAGCAAATGACCTAGCATCTAAGTCCAATGCATAATGTTCAACAAGGTCAGTGGGTTACTCTATATCACTGCCTTGCAGATTTCAGATAGCAATACATTTCAGAAGCAGGTGGAGGATGTTGATTGAGCTCTGGTGGAGTGACCCTTCGCATTCAATAGGTCTAGACCAACCAGCTGGTAACAAAGCGAAATGCTCTGTATTATCAACATAGATATTCTTTGTGATGAGATGGTCTGACTTATGGAATGGCCGTCTATCCCCAGTGTGACAAAGTCAGGCCGGGCAGCTAGGAGAGAGTGGTGGAAGGCAGGTGTATCAGTGATAGAATGGTAAAGGCCCTTTTCCCTATGAGCTGGAAAGAGAATAGCTCAGGTCAGCTAGGGACACCTGAGTCCAATGAATGGCTGCCTGTGACATTTAAAATCCCCTCTTTCTTGTGAGAGAGAAAGAGGAGAGACAAGCTGCAGCAAGGGTAGTAGCAGCAGAGAGAAAAGGCTTCTCCTGGGTGGAAGGCTGCTCTCCTCCCTGTAAGAGCAGCAACCAAGCTAACTGCTGTGTGGGGAACAACTGGCACCCAGAAGCTAGTATAACAGGGCAACAGCCTAGAGGGGGGGCAGGGAAAGGCATTCCCTTTTTGTGTTATGAATTTGGTTTTTTTGTTTGGCTGAAGAGTACTGCTTGGGCCTGCCCTGAGACCCAACTTGTAAGTATCAGAAAATAACAACCCCCATGAGGAATAAAAACTCTCTGGAGTGGGACTGATTTACACCAGGTCCCCCCATAGGCAGAGGGGAAATGCTGAGCACGATGAGTGAAGGAGATGCCTCGCTACACCAGAAGTAACCGGGGAAGCATCTGAACAGCATGGTCCCATTGATGTAATAGACTAGGGACCGAATGGCTAGGTAGCAGTTCTGCAGAAAAGGACCTAGGGGTCACAGTGGACGAG